TGATTGTCAATTAAAAAATATATAATATTGAAACATATAATATATGTTTAAATATGAATAAATATGATATACTTTATTATACTCATACCATCTTATATTTTTCATTGAGTATACTTAAATATTATTTAATTAAGAAAAAGTACCAGCCAAAAAAGAACAAAATTCAAACAAGCAAATGTTATAAAAATTAGGATAGAAATAATAAGTTTTTATTCTACATGTTAAATGTTAACGATTATTTAATGAAAAATGATATTGCCAAAACTCGTTTCAAAGTAAACTATAAAAAAATAATAAAATGTGAAGTATTCGAGGTATAATAATAGAAAATGCAAAACTACAATTATTATGATGAAATAAATAAGTTTAATATATAATTTTATACACAATATACATAATCAATTCGATATTTAATGTTCAGCTTGTGGGATGTGAGCTCCTTGTGGTTGGAAACCGTTCTCATCAGCTACATATGTAACAGTGTAGGTTTGGCCATCATCTCCAACGTATTTGTATTCACCCTTTACGGCAATAGATTCGTTTTCTTGGCCGGCGTTGATAACGTGTCCTTGCTCAGAGGCGGAGATTCCGTTGCTGGTCTCATAACTGAAACAATTCAAATAATATAAACAAATAAACTAAATCAATAATCGATGATAATCTTACGTTTGTTTGTAACCATCAACACCAATGTTATCCACTTCCTGTCTGACTACATAAGCATCCTTCTCTTCCTTGTATTGTGGAGCAGCCAAAGCTACGGCAACGAGAGCGGCGAAAGCAATGATCTGTAATGTTAACAATTACTAATAATCACTAAATTAAATCCTTCTCAAACATACGAATTTCATTATTGAGTTGTTCTGGTTCTGCTATCTAAACAAACTGTGCCAATCGATTCTACGGATTCTTCTTATATAGTATAATTTTGGAGTTAAAAACCTAGTCCACGCCAAAGAAAAATACAGTTTATTGCAAAATCGGTGGCCTTTAGCGACACTTTTACTCAAATAACTTACTTTGAATATTCATTTGATTTGATTCATTAATTCATTTTTAATGTTATCTATCGTAACCAGGACAGTTCTGCAGACGTCGAATTTATGCAATGTTTTGTAATCTATAATATTGATAATTGGAATAGAGTTATATCAGAGATTTTTTTTTTGATTCAACTATGTAATAAATATATAATATTATATAAATATTTTTTTTATATAAATTTTAATAATTATAGAAAGTTGATATTATAGAAAAGTAATTTACCTTCAGACCTGTTTGCACAATGAGAAGAATATTACAAATTGCTTAATAATTCCAAATTACACAAAAATATTATAAAAACTTTATTTAATTTCATTAAGTTACCCGAAACAAATAGAATTATTATTAATAATAGAAATCATTTATTTTATATATGCTCATACTTTACTTAACATAAATTTATTAAAAAATAAAACTGAAACTAATCAGCTTACATAAGATCGAAACAATATAATATATTAAAATATTAGTATTAATATTAATTAAATTAATTTGTCTTAAAAGTATATGATGATTTCATAATGAATATCTCAAATTGTGGAAGTATATAATTTGAGTGTTACTATTTTTGAAGTAAAGTTAGAAATTTCATGTTTTGAATTATAAGATTCATAATTCAATAAATTCAATATTATTAATAAACGTAATCAAAATTTATAGTTGTTTGAGAAATTGACTAAAATAATGTGAATTTAATTTAGTTTTCTTGTATTTAATATATAATTTCGTGAAGTTATGTAAATTATTGATTGAACTAAATTTAGATAATTATGGTAGGTAAAATTAGGTATAATATTTGATTAAATAAATAAGTTTATTAAAAAATATGATACAAATTGATTAAATATAACATTTAATGGTCGGCTTTTGGAAGATGAGCTCCTTGTGGTTGGAAACCGTTCTCATCAGCTACATATTTAACAGTGTAAGTTTGACCATCAGCACCAACATAAGAGAATTGACCGTGGACAGCGACAGCTTCATTATCAGTACCAGCATTGATGACTTGTCCTTCTTCGGAAGCGGAGATTCCATTGCTGGTCTCATAACTAAAATAATTGAAATTATAAAAAATGAATTAACTAATTAATTGTTAACAATCTTACGTTTGTTTGTATCCATCAACGCCGATGTTTTCCAATTCTTGCCTGACTACGTAAGCATCTTTCTCATCTTTGTATTGTGGAGCAGCCAAAGCTACAGCAACGAGAGCGGCGAAAGCAATGATCTGTAATGCAGATTATTAAATACAATTTGTTATATGCTTATGAAATATTGAGCTAACCAATTTCATTTTTGAATAGTTGTAGTTGTCTCTGCGACTAAACTGATTATGTTAATCTTTTTAATGAATTCGTCTTTTATATTAAAATTTCTTTATACAAAAAAAAACAAGTCCACACGAAGCAAGAAAGTTGCACAATGCTGTCGCCTTTGCGTTTTTACTCTCATTATTAATATACGAGATAAATATTCATTGATTGTAATACTTTAACAAAAAAAAAATAAACAAATTTAATTATACACGATTTGGTGATAAGACGATTTTGTCAATTGTTCTAATTAAAGGTAAAATTGCATGTTGCTAAAAAATATATTTAAACATATTTAGTTCCGTTTACATTGTGTGACTTTTGTACTTATTATTTTGAAAATTTCGAAAATTTCATAACCGTTGGAATTGGTTGTATAGCACATAATAAGAACCGCACAAAAAAAATCGTATAAAAAAGGATCGCACAAAAAAAAATTCTACAATAAATAAATTGGAATAACTTGTAAACTATTGCCTATAAATATAATAACTTAACTTAGAGTTCCATTTTTATTGCTTATTATGAATAAATTAATTGATGTTTATAGAATGACATTGAAATAGTTTTATATAAAAATATGAAACAAAAAAAAAGTGTATTTGGAAATTCCAAAGTCAGTCCATAAAAGTAATCATAAACTAACATCTTAAACAGTATATTTTTTGTATGCTTACAATTGCTGAATATATCAATAAGAAGATTAGCCTTGCAGTCAATCATTCGTGTATATTTATGTAAATCAGATCAACATATTGGTGACATTTGATAGGTTGTGTAATCATCACTTTTTTTAGGTGTGAATGTGTGGGGATTCCTTGTTCATCTGGGGCAAATTTTGAATAACTCCAGGTGCGGTATTCCATGAATCCGGTTTTGAGGTCGTTGGAATATTCGATCTGCATACTTTCATGCATTTAATATATTTTTTTTTAATAAATGCAAATTTTTAGATTAAATTTTCAAATCGATTTAATTTGTTTCAAATTTTTTGATTTGTATGAAAGTGAAATTTCGTTTTTTATTGTCAGTTATAATAAATGTTATTATTGTTATATTTTTTTACTCAAATCACCAAAAAAAATCGTTATTAAAATAGTTTTTCATTTATTTTAAGTAGAAGCTTTCTTTGGATAACTATGTTACATATTGATAAATATAATCTTTTAGAAGTTTCATTTCAATTTGATTATATTTTTATAACTTTATAATACTACTTTCTAAACAAAATGTTAAGCATATTGATTTAACGTCTTACTTAATACACCATAAGTATTAATATAACCTTCACTTATGACTAGCAAATACCAACTTCTTTATTAAAACTTTATACTAATCATAAAAGTTCGAAGTTTTGAAATAAAAATATATCACCTATTATGTAAATATAAAGTGCTTAACTTTTGCATAATAAGTCTACTATCTGTAAGTAACCGTATAATTAATAACCTTTTGGTCCAAATTAGGGACATATTTTCTCATTGCCAGTCTGTGGCAAATTGTAACTAATAAATTTAATTAAACAAAATATTTATATATCCAAAGTTATTTCATATATAACTTTGAGTTTGCTAATTTTAGTTTATATTCTATACCAAAAAGTAATAGTAACTAAACTGTGCGTAGGATGTGTCGATAAAATAGATTTGTAGATATTTTTAAATAATATTTTATTCTTAAACTATGAGATTCATTAATGGTGATGCTTATTATTCGGCTTTAGGGATGTGAGCTCCTTGTGGTTGGAAACCGTTCTCATCAGCAACGTAGGTGACGGTGTAGGTGACACCATCTGGGCCAACGTAAGAGAATTGTCCACGAACAGCGATGGATTCGTTTTCTTGACCGGCGTTGATGACTTGTCCTTGCTCGGAGGCAGAGATTCCGTTGCTAGTTTCATAACTAAAAACACATTTACAATTAACAAAAATGTCGTTTTCAATCTTTTTTCAATCTTACGCTTGTTGGTATCCATCGACGCCGATGTTATCCAACTCTTGCCTAACGACGTAAGCATCCTTCTCATCCTTGTATTGTGGAGCGGCAACAGCAACGGCTACAAGAGCGGCGAGAACTACGATCTGCGAATACAAGAATAATTAGTTTCGTCGAATGACTACGTTGAATAATTACAAACCAATTTCATTGTGGTAGATTTTTGTTTGCTCTTCTATTGGAATTGAGAACTGTGCTCGGAATTTGGTAAGTATCATCTTTTATACCGAAAACATTTCAACGAATCTCTCCCACCCCAACGAAAGAAGATCGTTGCAAAATGATGATACGCGACCTTTACGTTACAATTTTATTGGGTCCAGTGGTTATTTTTGTTTTATTCAAATTTTTATGTACGATTTAATTTAAATATTATTACGAACAAATATTCATACTTGAGGCTATTTAACCATATTTGGATTACATCTGTATTGTGCAACATATTATTCGAAGAATCGTAATTATATATTTGTTTTTAATATATCAATGTTTGACTAATAAATACGTTAAAACAAATTTGTTTCTTTATTCTAAACATTTTGAACATTTTATTGATATAAAAATATAATACACATAAAATAGACTAAATTTCAATGACATTTAATTGATGTAATTGTCACATGTATAATTCGTGACAAAGAATTTTAATTTCTATCAGCTACTCAATTTTGTTTAGTTTAAGTTAGTTGTACATCTTTCAAATAGTTAATAAAATTATACTAGGTTAATTCTATACAATTCAATACAATTCTACATCAATACAATTTTAAATAAATGAGAATAATTAGAGATTATTTCGTGTATGTTAATGTAATATATATTGTAACGTTGTAAGTTGACAACACTGTTAACTTGCTCCTGAAGGCAGATCAAACCGCGAAGAGAGACGGTTGAGGTCTCCAGTACAGAAGATTTTGATATTTGATAAATAGCACCCGTCGTGTTACATATTATAAATTTCAAATTATGTTGTTGTTATGATATTAGGCTGTCACTAATAATATTTCCCTGAATGAAAATGTCATGGACATAAAAAGTTTCTATCAACACCCACATTTGGAAAATCAATATACATTATTTATTACTGTTTATAAATCACAAAACCAACTATCTAAATTATTATGTATCTATCTTTTTATAAAAAAAATAGTGTTCAAATGTATTTGTTATAAATCAATTTATGAATATATATAAAAAAATGTAGGGTATGTATATTTTGACTTCAAAGAATTTTTTTTGTCATATTTCTGAATTTTGATATTTTATTTTTGAAACCTGTCTACTTTTGTACATTAATCCATTAAGATAGATAAATTTATTCTTTTCAAACCTTTCCAGCCCAAATTTATTTAAAAAAAAATGTTTTATTCTAATCTGTATAAAAGTACTTACTTAATCATAAAAAAACATCTTACCTGCTTTTTCTTCATTATTCAATATTACCACCTGTTAAAAAATTTACATTAGTTGCATTCAACAGTTTTAATCGTCGAAAGACAAAATTGTATTTAAAATGTAATGATTCCAATTGAAATCATTAGACTGGAAAGGGTTAAGAAATGTGTTAAACTAATTAAAACAAGGAATTGGAAAAGAAATAAACTTTTATTTATAAATTAAAAATATATAAATATGAATTTTTCCTCAAATTATATTACTCGATATTATCTTAAGTTATGTTACTACTAATATTTAATTAATTAAGAACACTTTTTATTGAATTTTGTAATAACATAGATATGTAATCTTTAAATTAGCTTGTATCTGTTACAGATATTTGAATCAACATAAAAATAAAGTAAAAAATAATTAACTGTTGAAATATCACTAAATTTGGTATAAATACTTATAATGCAGTAGACAATCGATTGTTGTGTGTACGTTCCAGGAATCCTAAAAACATTTAATATCTCTTCTTTTTCATAATATTGTAAACTTTCTTCATCATCGGACCGATCTTTTTTTTAGATTCAGTTTTTACGACTTTGCTTAAGTTATTATTATTATTATTAATAGGTCTCACATCAGTGGATGAGAGTCTCGTCCTGGCGATACGCTTTTGTTGTGGAGCATAATTTTTTACTTCTTTCAAGACTAATGAAGGGGGTGGTATGAAAAGTTTCTTTTGTATCGGAACTTCCGGTTGGGACACTTGCATGGGTTCTAGAGGTTCCTCTTCGAATTTATATAAGGTAATATATTCATCTTCCTCTGAAGAATCAGGAGGTGCGAGTAGCATTATAGCATCCTCTAAACTAGTGTACTCTGGGAATGTATCCATGGCTTTGAATCTCTTCTGATATCTACTGTAATGTTCACTCGCGTTGGCTTTCAAAATTTAACTGAATATTTTTGCTGAAATATGCTATGACTTGATTTTACCTGCTAATGGTAGGGGTTTCTTAGAACGAGTCGTTTCACAAAATTTAACAAATTTTTGGAAAATATTGCAAAGGTTTTATTGCAGTGCAATAAAGCACTACTAGCTAAACGAAAAAGTCTTCCTTTATTGCTAACATTTTTGCAACTTTAATATTGATTATTAAACAATATTTAATCGTTATTTAATTTACATAAGCAAACATACAGCAAATTTGATTTGGTGCAAACTTAAATAAATGACATAAAAAAATAAAACGAAATTGAATTGTTGCAAAGGACTACTGTCCATAGCTCTTACTGCCCGGGAAATAATAATGTAATATTTAAAAGATCAAAAAAAGACCAAAATTATAACGGTACTTTTCAAGTTGATATGTGCTCGTACAGAGTAAGAAATCCCAGATCGACCTCCGACTCTTAATATGCGAAGAAATAGGTTATTTAACATCTTTATTTTATAGAATATATAGTAATTCAAATAAGTAATTAGTAATAATTCCATAAATTAATTCAATTTATTCGGAGATTTTCTTTTGTTTTTCAATAATTATTGGCAAGTACCTTGGCATGCACCTAGATCGACGCCTTACTTGGAAAACGCATATAGCAACCAAGAGAAAATGTCTCAATCTGAGGGCTAGGAAGCTGGACTGGCTAATAGAAAGACACTGTTGCATATCAACAGAAAACAAAGTTCTCCATTATAAAGCTATTCTAAAACTTTGGGGATCTGCCTGTAACACCAGTATTGATATAATACAGAGATTCCAGTCCAAAACGCCAAGAAAAATTACCAAAGCTCCATGGTTCTTCACAAACGATGACATCCACAAGCAAGCTAACATCAGTTTCGTCAAGGAAGAAATAGCAAAGGTTAGCACAAGATACCATAATTGGCTAGAGAATCACCAAAACCAACTGACTACGGTGCTGATGCATACTGCAGATCATCGTCGAAGACTGAAGAGGTTTAAACCGCAAGACTTAGCCAACCGATTTAAATATTTAATAAATCAATTTTTGCTATTGCATTAATAATTATTGTATATGTGAAGTGGGGTTGTTGGATCATCTCTTCATTAATGTCCTTTTTGTATTTTCTTTTTACCACATCCGCAAAGCTTGATATCTATGTCAGATGATAGATTGCTTTAATAATAATAAATAAATTAAAAAATAATTATTTTTGAGATTTATTTAAAGTATTCAATAAATATTATAAAAACATATTTCCTAAATCTGTGTACTTGACCTAAACGTGCACGTCATTCAAATATAATTTGAATATGACTTTAATAGTCATGTGGATGTCACGTTTGTGACATGTTGAGGAAAACGGCAGAGCAGTACCTCTTCTTAAGACTTTTGTTAATCACATCCACCACACGATGCACCTGTTCTACAGTACTATATGGTTCACGAAATTCTAGCTGCTGAACCGGAATGAGGAAATTAACAAGCACCCAGGCCCCAGTCTTCGCAGCAATAGACAAATTGGTTAGATAAAACAGGCAGTAGGATGATTGGTCTTTAGGAAGAGGTCGCCGCGTTCGATGGTTTTCCAGGTCTGGTGATGAGTTTAGGCCACCTTCCACTGAACTGAAAATAGTCTAAGGATTACGTTATAAATGAGAGTGATTAACTAATGCTGATATCTAGTACATAGGTATTTCCGCCCTTTATAAATTAAAAACTTAATACATAAAAATGAAGTAAAAAAAGAATTAACTGTTAAAATATCACTAAATTTGGTATAAATACTTATAATGTAGTAGACACAATCGATTGTTGTGTGTACGTTCCAGGAATCCTAAAAACATTTAAAGATGATGAAGAAAGTTTACAATATTATGAAAAAGAAGAGATA